GCGAAGCCTTGACCCCTGGGCATCTGCTCATCGGCGGCCCTCTTCTGGCCCCACCATCAGCGGCGCTCCCGGACCAGATCAGTCTGACCTGCTTGCGACGATGGCGAGGTGTCTCGTGTCTCAGGCACCGGTTTGGGTGTAGTCCGGGCTACACCCCGCCCTTTATAGGTCTGTTCCTGGTGGGTTTAGCTGAAAAAATGTAAGCGCATAATTTTGTGCTAATTTGGTGCTTCTTAAATCCGAAAACATAACTTTCGTACTCAACAGGAAATTTTTTTGTTTAAATTTCGAAAATGCGGGATGCAGCTCGACTACGGGCTACATCGCGCACTCTATACTCTGGGGCAGTGTGCTAACTTGGTGCTGCTTAAACCCAAAAATTTAACTTTCGTACTCAACAGGAAATATTTTTTGATTAAAATCCGAAAATGCTGTGTGCATTAAACATAGCATTAAAACTTTAAAAATTGAATCCGTATCCCCAATAATCCGAAACTTTTTCGAAGTTTTTTTTACTACACACAAAAAAATAATCGTAAGGTTAAATTTGATAACGACTGTTAAGTTTGGTATTTGTAAGAGATTTTTATTTTAACCATTGAAAAATGTACATTTGATGTTGGAAAATGGTATTTTTTCAATTCCACGCTCCCTTAAAGATCTCTCAAGTCGAAAAAGAGAGTGTAATGCAAGATGGCGACAAAAGTCCAATAAGTTAGGGGGAGAACGACAGTTACGAAAAGCGAGCTCCCGAATTCGGTCATTCGAAATAGTTGTGATAAGGTGATCGGTGCGTTGTGCAAGTGGAGTGCAGAAAAGAAAAAGTGAATAGTGTTGTTAAGCTAAATAAATAAGTGAAATTAAAATGTAAATATAACTAAGCTAAACAAGTTATTGTATTAGTAACAATTTAACATTTGTGTTGTGCGTGTGAGTGTCATTGCTGGCCGGCAAAAATATGCACAAGTTACTGTATGTTTCGGATATAAAATATGTTAAAGTTGAATTTGTGTTACAATATTCATTTTGCAAACAATAAGTTGACATACTGTATATGTGTTTGTTATGCTTATGGTCAGCGTAGAAACCAAAATATGTATGTACGCTGTCTGTATATTACAGCTGCACTTATTGAATAAAAAAAGTTGCTGTGCATTTCTCTTTGCATCCGGGCTTCAGGCAAAGGCATACATACTAACATATATGTCTGCATAATTACCTGCATATAACTGTAAAATATTTTTTTAGATACAATGGAAGGGGAATCGCCTGACTTATATGATTTGTTGACGGCTTAAAACCTGCCCATGTCTTGCTGCGAGGATTTAGGAGGTAAGTTTTGTGAGGAGTTGAATAACTCCCCACAAGTTAAGAAGCAAGCAGAGTAAGCGCATGCAAGCAGTGGCCTACCAGTTACCAGTTACGCGGCGAATTCGCCCGTAGTAACGGTAGTGCGGAGAGAGAGAATGGTGAACTGAGCACCAGACAAAGCCAAGGAGAGTCCGAGAGGGACAGCGATACAAGAGAGCGGCGAAGGGCCGTGTGCAGAAGGAAGTAACGGGACGGCACCGGACTTTGGACCCTGATATTGGTGCCGGGCGCAGAGGGCGAAAGGTCGAACGGTAAAACCGTGGACTTTGGACCAGGAGGCAAGGAGACGCCGATAACTAGCGGTAAATGGAGGCCTATATAAACCGGCCGAGCGCAGGAAGCTGGATCAGTCGATTCTACAAAGTCAACAAGTAACAGTCATCAAGTGAACAAGTAACCAGTGAAACATCGTGAAGGAGCAAGTAAAGCCGTGCGGAGTCATAAAGGAAACAAGATCGCTACGTCGAGACGTTCGGGACTTAGAGCTAAAGTCTCCGAATTGAGACACAGGTAGCTGAGGTCCTTACGGCATCACACGGCTAAGTCCAGGCGTTTTGTTACAACTTCTGTCGCGATTTGAGCTTGGCATCCCACCCGGCGTGTCCGACAAAGTGAACAAATAGAGTCCTTCGACGAAGAACCGTGGGTTCAGAAGCAAAGTGTCTAGAACTAGCTACCTGCCTACAAGGACTGCATTAGCGAACTCCGGCGTATGCCTGATCGTCCTGCAGGAGCTGTACAAGGTCCTGGTGCGACTAGCCCGGAAGGACGCGCGTTTGCTCAGCTGGTGTCTCGAAAGGCGTATGCCTTGAGAGCACAGCGGTCCACCGCTAGAGTCCCAGAACGGCAGCTTACCGAGTCGCCAACAAGGAGCGGAGCTGGTCGAGATAGCTGGAGGTAGAAGAAGGACAACGGGGACCCCAGGATGACGAAAACGAGCGTCGAGCGAGCAGCCCATACTTCGAATTCTTAAGCCTGCGGCAGAGAGGGTAGGGTGGAAGCGTTCGTCTAGAACCTGGCGTTTGACCCAGGGACTGCGTTGGCGGCTTCCGGCGTACGACTGAACTGAGCCAGTTTCAAGTAGAAACTGAGCCGACGTCCGGTGCGACCGGCCGGGACAGAGCAAGGGACAGGAGGCTGCGGCTGCGAAAGGCGTACGCCTTGAGGGCACAGTGCCTGTTCACCCTAGTCTGGGAACGGTGACGCATCCCTAGTCCCTGTAAACCCGCCGAGCCAAGGGTGGCAGAAGACATCGCAAGCGAAACCGGCGAGGAAGACACCACTTCGCAGCCGGCACGATCCAGCGAGGCGTTCAACGTGGGAAGGAGACGACGGCAGGACGTAATTCTACATAACCATTACACCACCCCGGCCGAGGGTCAAGTCGGCGAATAAAAGATCACTGCATACTCCCAATCTTTCTGTGTGTTTTCACGTATATATAAATTTGGTGGGACGAACACTTACATCTTCTGAGCTAGCCGCACGACATTCGTAGCGAGCAGATAATAAAGAAAATCAGTTCGTTACAGGTTTGATGGAAATGGGTACTTTAGAAGGTTTATTGCCAAAATTTAAAAATACATTTTTTAAAGTGTGGTTTTTTTAACTTTCATCTTTTTTTTCAGACTGGCATTACGTAGAGCACACTAACATTACTAATAGAGCGTGTTGCATTTTCAGTTGAAGCCGTCGGGAAAATACCAAAACAACCGACACGTCAGCAGGTCCCGCTATCGATAAGATTCGGTGGTGACACCGACTATTGATAGCGGGAGAGGATCTAGCTATTTAAATTTAGCCCGGTTTGCTCGTTAACTGGGTTAGATGGCCTTGAATACGTTCGCTGACCCATCTTGAGAGAGCGGGAGGGAAAATGGCGAACGACTTTGGTGTAGGTCAGGGTTTTGCTTCAGTTGCTGCAAGAAGTCGTAGGAGAACGGTCGGGAACTAAATTGAGATGAAAATTAGTGTTTAGATAACTCAAAGTGAGTAGTTATTTATTATTCCTAAACTTGTAAATGACAGTGTTTTTTTTAAATATTGAAACCGCCGGGGACCCTATCTAAAGGGCCCCGGAAATTTAGAGGATTCGGGAGGGTCAACACTTACCAGGCGGACCTAACCTGGTCGTGAAGACCACGTCGTCCACCAGCAGCAGCGATCAGCTTCAGAAGCGGCAGCGATTAGCGGCATCGGCCGCAGCAGCATCAGCGCAGCAGCACCAGCCGCAGCAGCCCCAGCCGCAGCAGCACCAGCCGCAGCATCATCAGCGCAGCAGCATCAGCGATCTTTCGCGTCAGCCACATACGGAGATTCCCGGCGTGAGTCCGTTCCGGGAACCACCTGGTCATCCCTGGGACCACCGACGCACTGCCTCCGGGTCCTCTGGCGCAGACGCTGTGTGAATTCTCCGGACCACTTGGCTCCGTGCAGACCCGGCTTTCGCCGCTAGCGGTCTCTTCTTCTGGTCGCAGCTTCGACAACGACCAATTTTGAACTCTGGAATGAATTAGTTTTAGTTATTAATTTGTGAAATCAGGCAGTCAAAGAATCGTTTCAAAGCACTCACTGTGAAATCTAATCTGCAATCAGAGGCATTAATTTCGCACTTCAGCCGCGCGTCCAACTACGTTTAAATTGGGTCGCGAAATTTAATGAATTAAGGGATTAATTTAGCATACTTACCATATTACCATATTACCTTTCTTTTCCCTTGGAACTCCTCAGGATTAGGTGACCCGGTTGGCAAACGCCTCCAATTTGGTGCCGTGTAATTTGCATCAGTGGCGTTGTAATCTTAAGCGTCCAAAAATGTCCCTTCCATTATCGCTTTGACCACTTCTCATCTAGGCGACGGTCTGAGTTCGGCCTTCAGTGTTGCTAATAAAAAGAGAAGATCATGAGTAGGAATTAAATTTGTATGTATTCTATAATTAATCTTGCCAAAAATAAATGTAAACAAGCTACCAAGATGGTTGTGTGAGTTACCTTGGGCGGGGAGATGAGCCGATCCTGATCCACCAGGAATAGACTCCGGTCTGCTGGAGATGGGGCGTGCCTCCAATACCGTTCTTGGGGCACCCAAGGAAGGGTGGGTGCGTCGCGGCAAGGACATCGAAGCCACCAATTTCGTCCAATTGTCTTAGTTTTTTGATGTAAATATAACTTTGTTTTGTTTTGATTTGTGATAGAGATGGTAAATCGTCAAGTTAGTGACGTGAGACGTCCGATGAGTCGGAATCGATTTTTCGGACTGCAGGGCATAGGGGGTACTCCGCCCTCAGACTCCGTGGCTAGCCGGCGCTGCCCTCCGGGAAAGATGCAGTTCCGTAACAAGCGCTACCAATCCATTTATATATAAACAACACGAATATTAGAAAAAAAAAACCATTTTAGTTGTAAATAAATGTAAATATTTATATTTTACATTACTAATAAAACAAATGTACACACTTTATAAGCTCGTTTCTGATTTTACATTTATTTTAAGTAAAATATTGTTACGGAACTGCATCTTTCCCGGAGGGCAGCGCCGGCTAGCCACGGAGTCCCAGGGCGGAGTACCCCCTATGCCCTGCAGTCCGAACAATCGATTCCGACTCATCGGACGTCTCACGTCGATTTACCATCTCTACCACAAATCAAAACAAAACAAAGTTATATGTACATCAAGCAAACTAAGACAATTCGACGAAATTGGTGGCTTCGATGTCCTTGCCACGACGCACCCACCCAACCTTGGGTGCCCCAAGAAAGATGTGGGAGGCACACCCCATCTCCGGCAGACCGGAGTCTATTCCTGGTGGATTAGGATCGGCTCATCTCCCCGCCCAAGGTAATTCACACAACCATCTCGGTAGCTTGTTCACATTTAATTCTTGGCAAGATTAATAAGTAAATACATTCATTATTGATTCCTACTGATAATCTATTCTCTTCGTTAGAAACTCTTAAGGCCGATCCCAGACCGTCGCCCAGATGAGAAGCAACAACCGAAAGGGAAATTTTTAGACGCTTAAAGTTCCAAGTGTCAGGCAAAGTCGCCGCACGGCACTAAATTGGAGGCGTTTGCCAACCGGGTCGCCTAATCCTGAGGAGCTCCAAGGGAAAAGAAGGGACGTGCTGATAACGTAAGTACGCTAAACAAATCCCACAAGTTATTAAATTTCGCGACCCAATTTAGATGTAGTTGGACGCGCGCGCTCTAATTTTAGATTAGATTTCACAGTAAGTACTTGACAATCTTGACTGCATGATATCACAAAACAATAACCAAAACTTATTTATTGCAGAGTTCAACGTCGGATGTGGTTGAAACTGCAGCCCGAATGGAAAAACGCTAGCGGCGAAAACCAGCGCGAGTCCGCACGGAGCCAGTTGGTCCGGAGGATAGTGCAGCGTGGCCGGAGGCAGTGCGTCGGTGGACTTGGAGATGACCACGTGGCCAGCGCGGGCATTCGTTCCCGGAACGGACTCACCGAGGGAATCTCCGTATCTGGCCGTCTTGGAGGCAGTCGCTGTAGTTGCTGGCGCTTGAGGCTGCTGCTGCTGCTACTGATCGCTGCTGCTGCGGCTGATGCTGCTGCGGCTGATGCTGCTGCGGCCAATGCTGCTGCGGCTGATGTTGCTGCTGCTGATGCTGCTGCGGCCAATGCTGCTGAGGCCAATGCTGTTGCGGCTAATGCTGCGGCGACTGGGGCTGCTGCGGCTGGTGCTGCTGCGCTGATGCTGCTGCGGCCGATGCCGCTAATCGCTGCCGCTTCTGAAGCTGATCGCTGCTGCTGGTGGACGACGTGGTCTTCACGACCAGGTTAGGTCCGTCTGGTAAGTGTTGACCCTCCCGAATCCTCTAAATTTCCGGGGCCCTTTAGAACACTGTCATTTACAAGTTTAGGAATAATAAATAACTACTCACTTTGAGTTATCTAAACACTAATTTTCGTCTCAATTTAGTTCCCGACCGTTCTCCTACGACTTCTTGCAGCAACTGAAGCAAAACCCTGACCTACACCAAAGTCGTTCGCCATTTTCCCTCCCGCTCTCTCAAGATGGGTCAGCGAACGTATTCAAGGCCATCTAACCCAGTTAACGAGCAAACCGGGCTAAATTTAAATAGCTAGATCCTCTCCCGCTATCAATAGTCGGTGTCACCACCAAATCTTATCGATAGCGGGACCTGCTGACGTATCGGTTCGTTTCAGTATTTTCCAGACGGCTTCGACTGAAAATGCAACACCACCCTGGATTCCGAGAGACGCTAACACAGAGTTTTAGACAAGCGCAGGAATACTTGGGAGCATTTGGATTTGGACTATTCGGATTCAGCCGGCCTCGATACCAAGATGCAGTTCCAACGGTGTCCAACGCGGGGCCCACGCTTTACGGGAAGTAGACACATGCCGATTCTGAGCTCGTGTACTTTGTTATTCCTCTTTCCAGATCACAACCTAATGTCCTTGGCATGGTACACTCCGATCGGTCGTCCTTGAAGATCTTCAAGCTCGTACGCATTATTGCCGACTGTCCTGACCACCCGAGCTTTTAGGAACTTCCGAGCAAACTTTGCATTGAAGGCCCTTTTGAAATCGCTAGGGGCAAAGTTGCGGCGATACACTTCCTGACCGGGCTTCAAAGGAAAGTACGAGCCCTTTTGTCGTACCGCAGGCGACTCCGATCGTATGCATCTTCGAGGTTCTTCTGCACCTTGTCATGGATCACTTGGAGTTTATCAGCTTTTCTCATCCCAGACATTTCGTGATCACACAGCGACTTCAACTTCCTTGCCAACTTGTAGCTGGCTCCGTTCAGGAACATGTGTCGTCCGAATACGGTGAAGAACGGAGCTTCTCCAGTTGCTGAATGGACCGCGTTGCGGAGGGCCACCTCAATCTCCGGAAGATACGCGTCCCATTCTCGATGGTCTTCTTCTAAGTAGCTTCGGATCGCCGCCAACACGCTTTGGTTTACCCTTTCCGCTGCGTTGCTTTGCGGAGAGTGGACTGGCGTTTTGATGTGCGTGATGCCAAAGCTTTCCATCGCCTCCTCGAAGATCTTGACGTAAACTGGCGGCCGTTGTCCGAATGCACAATTTCTGGAACCCCAAACTTGTAGAAAACCTCGAGAATGAGGAACTACACTACATTGGAGGCCGATGCCTCTTGCATGACCTTCAGAAATGTGTATTTGGAGAAGTGATCCACCACAATGAAGATGTAGGCCTGTCCCTTCTTCGACCTCGGATACTTCCCCAGGAAATCGATGTACAGTTTCTGGAATGGCTGCTCAGTCTGGACTCTCTCACCGATACCAACATGCATCTGGAAATTCGGGGATTTCGTCTCCTTGCACACTTCACACCTGCGTATGAACTCCCGGACTTGCAGTGCCATGCCAGGCCAGTAAAACTGCCGCCGTAGGTTTTCCAGAGTTTTTCCCATTCCGCCATGAGCTGCCGTTGGATCCGAATGTGCACGCTCAATTATGCTGTGGGTCAGACTCTGGGGAATCCACGACTTCCATTCGAAGCCTTCCACCTCGTCATCCAGATTTGCCGAAAAGACTCTCTTGAAGATAAGACCATCCACTATCCTCAAGTCAGGTAGGTTGGCCAAGTTTTTTTCCACCTCTTGTAACAACTCCGTGTACTCTTCTCCAGCAAACTCAGTGGTCTCGAAGCCGAGCAACTCTGACGGGTCCACCGTTAGCTCTTCAACACAACGCGAAAGGGTATCTGCCACAACGTTCTCGCTTCCTTTCCTGTGTTCGATGTTGAAGTCATATCCCTGGAGTTGCAATGACCACCGAGCCAGCCGACCCGAAAGATCTTTCATGGACATGAGCCACTTCAAGCTGGCATGATCGGTGATGCACGTGAACGGCATTCCTTCCACATACGGCCGGAACTTTCGAATGGCCAGCAGGGCTTCGAGGCATTCTTTTTCAGTGACGGTGTAATGGACTTGGTGACGATTCATCTTGGCCGAGAAGAACGCTATTGGTTGTTCCTGGCCGTCTTCATCCCGCTGGAACAACACTGCACCGACTCCAATCTGGGATGTATCGCACTGGATGAAAAAGTGCCGCTTGAAGTCCGCATGTACCAGCACTGGCGCAGAAGTTAGGGCCATCTTCAGGGACTCTACTGCCAGCTGTGCTTCTGGACTCAAGGAAAACTTCTTATTTCCCGTCTTCTTCAAGGATTCCGTGAGCGGGGCAGCCAAAGTTGCGAAGTTCTTTATGAACCGACGGTACCAACCAGCGGTCCCAAGAATGGCTCTCACTTCCTTCATGGTCCTTGGCTCAGGCATCCGCCTAATAGCTGCTACACGCCCTGGATCCATCCGCAGACGTCCTCCACCCACTATGAAGCCGAGGTAGGTCAAAGACTTGAAGCAAAACTTCGACTTGCTCAGCCCAATGGTTAACCCTGCTTCCTTCAGGCATTCAGCGACTCGGCGAAGATACTTCAAGTGCGTTCTTATGTCAGGCGCTAGTATTAGCAGATCATCCAAGTAGACGAACACATTCGAGCGGATTTCAGCGGGAATTACTCGGTCCATGAGTCTCACCAGCCTCTGTGATGCGTTGCAGAGTCCGAAAGGCATCACACGGAACTGGTAAAGAGGCCGACCAGGAACCGTAAAGGCTGTGTATTCCTTGCTGCTCGTGTCCAACTCAATCTGCCAAAAAGCGAAATTAAAATCCACGCTGGAGATGTAGTATGTTTGGTCAATTCTGGACAGGATGCCGTCTATGCTGGGCAACGGGTAAGCATCTTTGATGGTCACATCATTAAGCTTACGTGCGTCTAAGCAGAACCGGTGTTTTCCAGATCTTGATACTACGGTGGTGCGGTTACTCCAGGGGCTTTTGCTCTCCTCGATGACTCCGAGCGCTAACATTTTGTCGACCTCGTCCTCGACCACCTTCTGCTTCGCGGGAGACATCGGATAGGGTCGATCCTTGAACACTTTGGCCCCGTCCATCAGCTCAATAGTGTGCTTCTCCAGACTGGTGGTACCTAAGCCATCCCTCTCGAAAGTCAAGAACTGCTGCTTGATCTCCTCCAGCTCTTGTTCCTCGGCCTTGGAAAGCGTCCAGGACTCGGGATCGGGTTTCTCCTCATCGTCATCCTCGACCTCCGCGTAGTGTTCCATCTCCCTGGCGTGTAATTCTTCGGCCTTCTTCACGCCTTCCGAATCGATGTGGCCTATAATCGCTGGGGCCAGTCCGAATGCTTGCCAAAAATCCACTCCAAAATAAGCTGGCTGCTCCAGGTAAGGACACAAGTAGAAGAGAATGTGCTCTGTCCGTCCTCGGTATTCCACCGGTAACTTGACCCGTCCTATAATTGACCGATCCTCTCCAGAGGCCGTACGGACTGCGGATAAGTACTTCTGGACGGGCACATCCAAGGCCTCGACCAGCTCTCTGCCACCTTTTCCAAGCAGACTCACACTCGCTCTAGTGTCCAACAACCCCGTCAGTTGCTTGGTCAGAACTCGGACTGCGGCGAACGGTCTGGGATCTCGCGATAAACTGCGCCTCACGGCGGCCACTGCTTCGCGTCGGCAGTTCCGACGTTTGCGAAATCGGTCCCTGGCCTTTTGCACCTTGCGAGACACCATACGCATCCCGCCTAACTGGTGCTCTGAGAAGATCCTGTTCCTGGTCTCTAGATACCGCCGCATCCTCTCCGCATAAGGAAAGTATCGTAATGCAAACCTATTAATATTTTTAGAAGGTAAACATTTATCTAACCCTACCAGCTCTTCTTCTCTGCGGAACTCCTGTCTGGACGCAACCTCTCCGCCCTCGGATCGCCCAGCCGACCGTTTTCCGCACAATCCGGACATTTGGGAGACACGGTGTCGGGCTTCCCACATCGGTAGCAGAACAGTCTCCGTTCTGTTGCTGCGCAGTCACGGAACCCGTGATCCACGGCTCCGCAATTCCAGCAGCCGGCTCGGAACGGATTTTTAGGCTTCGCCCGCACTTCGTCCACCTCTTGCCACGGAGGATCCTCACCAGGATCTGGGCCAATCGCCTCGCTAACCTTGGCCTTCTCCGCCAGAGGATACCGCATCGGCTGCGTGTACGTGGTCCGTCCACGTCGTCCAAAACTGCGCTCCACCTCGCAGCACTCTTCCCGCAGTTCATCCACCGTGAGCACATCCATCGCGTAGACAAACCTTGCGATGCTCTCCCTCAAGCCCTTTTTAATAATCTTCACCAGCTGCCGCTCTGACAGTGGCCTTTTCAGTCGAGCCGCCAACTGCTGCATCGCATGGATATAATCGCCAACTCCTTCTCCGGGCTGCTGCTCCCTCTGCAGAAGTTGGTGCATCCGATCGTGCTCCGTCTGATGGCATCGGAACCTATCCATCAGCGAGGCTCGAAGCTGGGACCACCTGTCCACCCTGCAGTGAATCACGTGCACCCATTACCACTCCCGAGCCCGCCCAGTGAGCAGCAGGTGGAAGTTTCGGAGCACCTCTTGCCACGGGCAATGCCAATGCCGCTGCAGGAACTCCAACCGGAAGAGAAAATCTTCCACCGAGTTTCGCTCATCCTCCCCGTCGAAGGATACGCCCCACCGCTCAATTCGCCATTGCTGGTTGGCGGCTGCCGGCCCCACATTGGCATACAGACGCGGCTCCTCCCGGAACTCTGAGGCCCTGCGGTCCTCAATGCACCAGCTCCGGGCCGGGCCATCGTCTCGGCGCGACCTGAAATGATCCGGAGGATACCCGGGACTGCTACTTTCCAACTCCTGGAAATCCAGCGGCCTCCTCGTCGGTTTGGGTGGCACCCTCGGCGGAGGTAGCCTGGAACCGTCCCTGCCGGCGACCTGTGTGCTCTTCGGCACCGCACCTTGCGGGGCTTGACCAGGGATTCCCGCGTTGATCCTTGAATCCGGACGCCTTCGCTCTCCAGGGGAAGCTGAGGCCGCTGAGCAGCAGACCTTAACACCTCGTTCATCAGCTTCATCATCTCCAGGAAGCCACTTCGGATCTCGTCCCTCAGTGCCTGATTGATCCCGCCTTCTTGGACCTTCCGATGGGTCTCCGCCGCCTGTGCCAAAGCCACATTAACGGCCGACCTTGCCGCGGAATCCACGAAGGGATCGTGGAGTCTTGCGTCCTTATCGTCCAGCTGCAATAACTCATCCGCCGCGGAACCAATTCCCTCGAGGATCTGCTGCTGCCTTAGGCCCTGCTGCAGCTCTGTGTCCTGTGGTCCTTTTTGCTCTTGTTGCAGTCCCTGGCGCAAACGGGCAAGCGGAGTCCTGGGCAACCCTTCCGATATGCGCGGCAAGCCAGCCTCGGTAGCGCCCTCCACATCCGTGGACCACATCTTTTCGTCGTCCTCGCCTGGAAAACCTTTTCGACCGAAGCAGGTGATCATGCTTGCTGCCTTGTCGCTTTGACATCCTGAATTTTGATAACCCCTAACACGACTTCTGAAACCCCGAATTCAACGTGGCCACCAAAAGCCCAAATTATGTATAAATAAATAAATTATACTGAATGCTAGTAAATAATAATAAACATGAAATAAACACCACTAAAAAATATGCACCTAAATAATACGAATACTTATATTACCAGGCCAATAAATAATAATAATAAATAAATAGAAACAATAAACCATGAATAGATAAGAAATAAATAAGAAAACATATTAAAGACCCACAAATACCTAAGGCTAAACAAATTCACACCAAATATTAGCTCTTATCAAAAAACAAGTCCCTCGACTAAATTTATTTTTTTTTCCAGCCTCAATAAGGGGAGATGGAGCCGATCCCCAGCCGGTAGACTCCGCGCCAGTCGTCTTGCGTCTACAATTTCGTCCGAATTCTCACTAAACAAACCGCTCGTCAACTGGACTAACTTTCAGCTGTGCTGAAAGTCGCCAGTTAAGGACTTCAGCTGTTTGCAGGATCGCATAGGATTTCCTTTTGGACTTTGCGTTTTTCATTCAAGACGCGGTGGCCGAGCAGCGCGTGACGACGTCACGGTTCACGACCACACATTTAAGTTTTAAACCGATATGATATGAAAACGCAAATACCCAGAAAACCCAAGGATCTGCACAAAAGAAACAACTACACTGTAACCCCATAAGAAGACATTCATTAAAATTACGTTAACAAAAAAATATGTCCCTAATACCTATATCACAGTTTTATCACCGTTTTTGGTTTAACCTTTCGTGCTTATTGCACGGACGACCTGGGATGCGAATCCTTCGATTTCCTTCGAAGAGGATGTCACCGCCAATTCACAGCTAATCCCTGTGAACTGTGCCTCGGGAGCAATTGTCCTACTTCTAGTGGACACGCCTCCCTTTCTTATTACAAAATTTAAACAACTTTTCTCCACCAGTCCGCATCCCGGTGCAATTGCATGTGTGTCATGGAAGCCACCGTTCGTGGGCTGGCTGGAGATAATAACTATGCGAGACGCCGTCGACTCGGCTATCACATATTTTATTTGTTAAATTGGGCGCCATATTGTTACGGAACTGCATCTTTCCCGGAGGGCAGCGCCGGCTAGCCACGGAGTCCCAGGGCGGAGTACCCCCTATGCCCTGCAGTCCGAACAATCGATTCCGACTCATCGGACGTCTCACGTCGATTTACCATCTCTACCACAAATCAAAACAAAACAAAGTTATATGTACATCAAGCAAACTAAGACAATTCGACGAAATTGGTGGCTTCGATGTCCTTGCCACGACGCACCCACCCAACCTTGGGTGCCCCAAGAAAGATGTGGGAGGCACACCCCATCTCCGGCAGACCGGAGTCTATTCCTGGTGGATTAGGATCGGCTCATCTCCCCGCCCAAGGTAATTCACACAACCATCTCGGTAGCTTGTTCACATTTAATTCTTGGCAAGATTAATAAGTAAATACATTCATTATTGATTCCTACTGATAATCTATTCTCTTCGTTAGAAACTCTTAAGTCCGATCCCAGACCGTCGCCCAGATGAGAAGCAACAACCGAAAGGGACATTTTTAGACGCTTAAAGTTCCAAGTGTCAGGCAAAGTCGCCGCACGGCACTAAATTGGAGGCGTTTGCCAACCGGGTCGCCTAATCCTGAGGAGCTCCAAGGGAAAAGAAGGGACGTGCTGATAACGTAAGTACGCTAAACAAATTCCACAAGTTATTAAATTTCGCGACCCAATTTAGATGTAGTTGGACGCGCGCGCTCTAATTTTAGATTAGATTTCACAGTAAGTACTTGACAATCTTGACTGCATGATATCACAAAACAATAACCAAAACTTATTTATTGCAGAGTTCAACGTCGGATGTGGTTGAAACTGCAGCCCGAATGGAAAAACGCTAGCGGCGAAAACCAGCGCGAGTCCGCACGGAGCCAGTTGGTCCGGAGGATAGTGCAGCGTGGCCGGAGGCAGTGCGTCGGTGGACTTGGAGATGACCACGTGGCCAGCGCGGGCATTCGTTCCCGGAACGGACTCACCGAGGGAATCTCCGTATCTGGCCGTCTTGGAGGCAGTCGCTGTAGCTGCTGGCGCTTGAGGCTGCTGCTGCTGCTACTGATCGCTGCTGCTGCGGCTGATGCTGCTGCGGCTGATGCTGCTGCGGCTGATGTTACTGCTGCTGATGCTGCTGCGGCCAATGCTGCTGAGGCCAATGCTGTTGCGGCTAATGCTGCGGCGGCTGGTGGACGACGACCAGGTTAGGTCCGCCTGGTAAGTGTTCACTTCCCAAATCTTTTAAATTTCCGGGGCCCTTTAGTTAGGGTCCCCGGCGGCTTCAATATGAAAAAAAAACACTGTAATTTACAAGTTCCGGACTAATAAATAACCACTCACTTTGAGTTATTCAAACACTAATCACGAACTTAAATTTTGGGTTTTTTTCCGACCGTTCTCCTACTACTTCTTACAACAACTAAAGCAAAACCCTGACCTACACCAAAGTCGCTCGCCATTTTCCCTCCCGCTCTCTCAAGATGGGTCAGCGAACGTATTCAAGGCCATCTAACCCAGTTAACGAGCAAACCGGGCTAAATTTAAATAGCTAGATCCTCTCCCGCTATCAATAGTCGGTGTCACCACCAAATCTTATCGATAGCGGGACCTGCTGACGTATCGGTTCGTTTCAGTATTTTCCAGACGGCTTCGACTGAAAATGCAACAATATCAATTCGTTTTTTTATCAAATATGCATTAATATTGCTTCGATATTAAAATATGCAATTTACAAAAGCATCGATTCTACATTCAAAAAAATGTTAAATATATTGATACTGTTTTTGTGTAAAATTAATATTGTCGAAATGTATATTTTTACATTTCGATGATATCAAACACATACATCATGCATTACTCATAAAACTTCATCTGAATGAGTGTTATATCTCAAATTTTTTTTCCGTATACCGAAACGCATGACAGTATTTTTGTATTGGTTTTAATGACAAGTTCTAAAAAAAAAAATTTTAATATCAGCATGAAGTTGTTTACATTTAAATTACGTTTTATGTATACTTACTTTCTAAGCAATCCATTTGTTCCAGAAGCTTCTGGATGCTTGTTGCGAGTTCTGACTTTTCCATTCTGTAAAAAAGTTTTTTTTCCGGTCATGCAAAAAAATACCAGTACATTTTGAATTGGGGCTTTTCGTACTTAAACGCCTGGGTAGCGATGCAACATAGGTCAAGAAAGGTCAACTGGAAGAGCTTTGACACGATAAAAGTATTTTCTCTCGATGTAATGCATTTGTTAGACTTAGGAGCTTGCAAGAAAATGTTAAACCTAATGATTAAGAAAAAAACATTAGATTTTAAGTTAACTAATTACAATTTCAAAAAGGTTTAGCAGCCTAAAGAATTTTGTGACTGCTGAATTTGGAAGACAACCAGTTTCCCAGGTGGAAAGCAATCGAGATTAGGCAATTCATATTATATACAGGTAGAATTGTTAAAAAAATAACAGGCGAATTCAGAATGATATTAGCTTAAAAATATTGTTCAAATTTAAAAGAGGACCGTGAATTGGTAGATTATTTTGTTAAAATAGTTACATCTATATATCCTAGAGAAGCTCTGACTTATAATGTTCACAATATGCTTCATATTGTCGATTGTCTTAAAAACAATTTAAATAAATATAAATTTAAAAACTTTTTGCAGAAAGTAAAAAAAAATGTTAAGAACCCTGTCAAGATTCTAGAACAATCACACAATAAATTTTCAATACCCCTGCCTATTAAAAAACAATCAAAATTGGGACCCAAATTCAATATGCAAGTTAACCTACCCGTGAAACCGGGCCGCTTATGGAATTAATAAACAATTTTTTCAAAATTCAATTTGAACAATCTTTGCCTATGCCTTTGCATTTGCCTTTGTCTTTGCCCATGCCTTTGGCTTTGGGGTCCGCTCTTGGTTTCCCTACCATGATAAACAAACAAATCTTAAAGTAAACATAAGTTTCCACTCGAAGCCCAATCAATTGAGTTCTAAGTTCAAACTGTTGCGATCCAAGCCCAAACAAATTGCATCGGTCAGCATATTTAAATTTCACAAAAGGATGCCATGATTTCATCCTAAGCTTATATTCTAAACAAAAGGAAAAGTTCTAGAAGCTCAAAGAAAAGCTTCTGGCCAAGGTTCGTTGGATAAGATTTTAAAATTAAGCCGGCAGTCCATCTTTGATCAAGAAACAGTTCGGAAGTAAGAAATTCGAATGTGAAAAATAAAGTGTATTGTACTTTTGAAATAAAATAAAAACGTTTAACACCAAGTTACAAAAAATAAAAAAATATATTTTTTAATACTATTACTAGTGATAAACTTAATTTGCATGTCGAAATAGTTAAATATTTTTTTTACAAATTTTATGTTATCACAAATGCTAAATAATGATTGTTCAAACTAGTAATTTCTTCGAGAGTCCACAGGAAAGTTCCTCAATTGGTATATATGTACATATATAATCAATTTATTGATGAAATAGAACAACACCCAATAATAGAAATTGAGTTCAAATACTTTTACATGCCATATAATGACTCTGCCGTTTTAGTCCCTTTAATTGAATCCGATACATACTGATCAAGCCAAAAAAAATGGCCGAAAAACAATAACAACAAATTAAATGTGGAGGGCGCATGCGTCCCAGGCAGAAGTAAGAGTCATTAACGATATAGTACTCAATATTTTGATGAATTGCCGCCACCCAACTAGTACTTGAGTACTATTGATCACACAATACACCGAATAAGGAAGGAATACACCGATAAGGAAGAAAATAACATTTAAAACTACACTAATAGCCTGATTCCATTGCCGCACTAGTGGAATTCTTAAATGTGCCTGATTCCATTGGCGCATTAGCATTTAGCTAATGCTACTCCGACATGTGAGTGGCACGAACAGCTGATCTGGGTTTGTTTACTTTTGAATTGTCGCAAATCAAATGGAAATCAATTAAAAATCATGAATATGAGCAAGTTTACGGATATCTTTAGTGCTCAGCAGGTCATCCATAATGCTATCGAGGCGTTTGCCAGCTTGGGCGACAAGAAAGGAAAGCTGATTTTTTTTTTTTACGTGTTTGCAATGGAGACCACCACAGTTTCAATCATAGACAAGGATCCCCGTATAAGTGGGAGTTATTTCCTGCCAGAGATCCAGCAGTAATGCATTGTGGTACTGCGAGCAGAATATGCAGCGTGCGCTCTTGTTTTCAGTCATTTTTATACAAAATATATTTTATATTCAAAAGTAATCAAAAATTGGGCCAACCTTGCATATAGAAAATAGCTTTTGTAGTGGTGGGACGAACAAAATATCGTTAAGCATCGCTATTTTCAGGATTTTTTTTCTAAAAAACGTTCGAATGGTCACAATCACATTTAATTATCGCATTTATTTTAAATGATGCATTAGACTAAATGCTCTTTAATGCTCCAATGGAATCAGGATAATAAACACGGATTTTATTTTGACAACAGCAGCTAGCAGTTTATATGATTACAACATGCTCTGAACTAATATAAAGTGATTTAAACTTATAGCTTGATTCCATTGCCGCATTAGTAGCCTTCTTAAATGTTCCTTATTATTAATCGGTTTCCATTGGCGCACTAATAGCGTATTTCCACAAAGATCCTTCCACCTTCCCGTGGAAGGGATGGTCCATATGTTTTTTTCCTTCCAAAAACAGCTGTAGCTCATCAAAACATCATCATCAATGATGGTTGACCTGTTGACTTTGTTTACGTTTTGACGAGCCACAGTTGTTCAGATCAGCTGAAATCGGAAGGTGGATGTGCTCTGTGGAAATCGAAGTTTCACATTTGTCGAATATTCCAACGGATGGACTGTGTGGAAAGAGGGCATAAATCGCATTTAGCGAAATGGATGGATCTCTGGGGAAATACTCTATAACGCACGTTTATTTACACGATAATCCATCAACAGAGATCCAGCCACCTTCCACCATCCGTTAAAGGGATGGTCCATAAGGTTTTGCCGTTCCAAAAACTTTCCAGTTAGTACGCGTTAAAATTTGACGAACTTTAACGGACTAAATTTATGCGATTGTTAGCCGATGTTTTTGCGGTGTAGTCCTGTTCCAACGAAGTCCATCCCTGAAAAACCACTGAGATTTTTGAAAAAAGTGAAACTCCGATTTCCTCAGAAGATATTCACCTTCCACCATCCGATTTCAGCTGATATGAGCAGCTGTGGCTCATGAGAACATAAACAAAGAAGGTTGACCTGTTGACCTTGTTTACGTTTTGACGAGCCTTAGCTCGTCCATAAAGCTATCAAGGCATTTGCCATCTTGGCGACAAGAAAGGGAAGCTGATGGGGTTATTTGACGGGTTTGCAAAGGAGAGCACCACAGTTTTTAAAAAAGAGCAAGGATGCCCGTATATGTGGGAGTATTTTCCTGCCAGAGATGCAGCAGTAATGCATTGTGCCTGCGATTATTTTAAATGCGGCATTTAGCCTTATGGGATTCCCTGTGGAAAAAAATGCGCATTAGGCTTAATGCGTTTTAATACGCCAATGGAATCAGGCTATTACACTTTTTTTCACTCACCTCTTGACAAACATTTAATTTAAAATTAAAAAGTTCACTCAATTTCACTGATAATATAAACGGTATGGCCTCAGCTCAAGTGCCTGATAATACCAAAACTATGTCAAATACGGTAGCACACCGCCTGCGATTGCAAAAAGGCAGCCTGCGAATTCGGATGATTTAAACAATAATCTCCCTGCCCCTTTAGCTGAAGATATGATGATTTGCAGCCTAATTCTTTGATAGTTCCTATGGCAGCTATATGACATCGTTTTCGAGTTTAATAACATTGAAAGCGTAATTCTGAACTGTCAAATTATCACTAAGTCAACAAGAATTTTTGAAAAACATTAAAAAATAGAAAAGTTACATTAAAAAAATGTTTTATTTGTAGTTTTCATGGGAGCTATGTATATGATATGGTCGTCCGATTTTGATGAAATTTAAACTGTTATTCTGAAATATTTAACCATTACTTTATGTCGAAGAATTAAAAAAAAATCAAAAACAGGAAAGTTTCCGATTTTGTCCGATTTTGATACTATACTATTACTATATGTCAAAGAACCAAAAAAAAAAAAACTAAAAACAGCAAAGTTATGATTTTTTTTATATATTTTTCCGATTGTTTCTATGGGAGCTATATGATATAGTCGTCCGATTTTGATGAAATTTAAACCGTAATTCTAAATTATTTATCGATTACTAAACTAAAAAAAAGTTAAGAAACAGCAAAGTTATAATTTTTTTTTCCGATTGTTCCTATGGGAGCTATATGCTATAGTCGTCCGATCCGGCTCTTTTTGACTTATGTAGTACCTGCAATAGAAAGACAACTTTTGGGAAAGTGTCATGCAGATAGCTTTAAAACTGAAAGACTAGTTTGCGTAGAAACGAACGGACAGACGGAAGACTCTCGTAGTGATGCTGATCAAGAATATATATATATAGAGTCGTCCGTCTGTCCGTTCGTTTCTACGCAAATATATATATATACTTTATATAAACATAAAAGCAAAAAAATGTTCTTTCAAAATAGTTTGATAGATTGCAAGCAACTCTGCATATGCCACTGTGACTTTTGATGGTCGATGGAAGGACGATGGTGACTCTGTGGGAACACCATCCATCAAAAATCCCAGCCGTTTCGCTTGGGATGGGCTCAGTAAAGAAGTCCGTGCAAGCGATGCCTTAGTCACGCATGAATGAATTGTTGTACATCCTTGCGTTTACTTCGGCGTCTAAAAAAAAAATACTCGCGACTGTGTGCTGGGACTAGACATAAAATACGTCTCACGTTTAGTTTTCCGTTTCGCTCCACAACATTTGTGCGGCAACGTTCCAATCTACTGTTCCATTTTCGTCGCCAATTCACTGGCGCTATTTAAGCAAATTATAGATTTTTTAATGCTCTTAAAAATACTATTTTGATCAAACGGTTACATTTTGGGCGTGTTACTCCATTTCACATTTATATTAATAAGCCACTGGAAAATGTCTAACAAAAGTAAAATGGGAGCATTTAATTACTGCACGCAAGTGGCCCTCTGCATATCCGTGTTATCCGTAGTTTTCTTTGTAATCGCGTTTTCAACACCGTATTGGTTGGTTACAGACGGACGTTCACAAGATCCAAGGTTTACCAACCTCGGCCTATGGGAAGTTTGTTTTAACAACTTCCAGGACATACACAGATTTTTTGACAATCGCTTCAACGGTTGCATGTGGGTTTTTGAAGAGGAATATTACATCATACACGATTTTCTTCTGCCAGGTTTTTACATATCTGTACAACTTTTTGCAACACTTTGCTTTGTTATGTGCCTGGTTGCCCTGCTACTCACTGTAGCTTTTCTTCGCACTTCTCGCGATGATGATCGATACATTGTGCTGTTGCTGATGATTGGTTCCTGCCAGGTTGTGGGTTCAGTGTTTGGATTTATAGCCGTGGTCATTTTCGGAGCTAAGGGAGACTCTCGCGATTGGATGCCTGGTTGGCAAAACAACGATATGGGTTGGTCATTTGCGTTGGGCGTGGTTGGAGCTGTGCTGTTATTGCCGCCTGGTGTGCTTTACATGGTAGAAGCAAGGCGGGAAAGATATAAGCGTCTAAACGAAATCGGAAATCGGGAGGTCAGTGAATTTGGAGACGACTATTATCAGAACCAGCCACACCTCGTCGCTATGCCCAATGCATCAACCCAATTCCAAAATGTGTTTGCATCTGAGCCTAGTCGTCCACGACGTCCACAGCAAAGTGGTACACCAATCGAACCAGTACAAGGAAGAATTCAAACCGATATATAGCATTCAAAAAATATAAAAAATTGATTCTTAAATCAATTGGCTTTCCGTCCGCTTCAAATATTTTAAGCTATTTTTCTAAGATCCTTAATCAATAAATTGTCAACAAATATATGCTAAATAAAATCTTTTTTGTATTTGCATTTTAAGATTGTGTGTACAGTATGTTTATTCTGTATGTATTCAGAATGTTTATTCCCCGGTTGACAGATTAAATACTGAGAACGAACGCTTATTTCAATAGGCCGGTGCATATTTACTCTTAGGGATAAAAACAACACTTTTCCTTCAATAGATTTTACAAATTTTTGCACATAATAAGGTAGGTATTCAACTTTAATTTAAGGTTTTTGTTTTACAAAAATATTGAGAAATAACGAAATAATGCTGACATGATTCCGGTCAAATGAGTGGCTATAATCAAAAAATTAAAAAAAAAATATTTTTTTTTTTTGGTGATAATTTTTAACCAGTCCAAAAATGTGTATGTAATTTTACGTAGAACCCATTTAAGATGATTGGGTGTTAGTTTGAAACCGTTCGGTCAACTTGTAGTCAAGTTATGTTAGCAATTTTCAAAAATGTTTCAAGATAACCGGCAGTGTTGCCAGATGAAAAACCAACTTTCACCCTTACTAATCTCGTAGAACTCCGGTTGCCCCTAAAAAATCCAGTTTTCCCCTTAAGGGGATGTCCATATGTTACGCTACCTCCTCCCCCCATGGTTATCAAAAGTAATCATTCAAGGAAAGCACCCCACCCCACTACGACAAGACCGATCGGTTTACAAGTGTTGGCTTCAGCCAAGTTACGGTAAAAGCTTGATATGTTCATTTAAGGCAAAGGAGTAAGCATAAGGCTTAGGCTTTATATGATCAGGACTTCAAATATAGAAATGTTCAGTTTTTGAAACAGTCTCTAAAGTCTAAGGCCGATTATTTTTTATTTGTCTGTCGGGAACAAATTCTTTATTAGTTCATCATCATGCCTAAAATTTGTATTCAGAACAATAAAAGCTTCTGGATGGACAGATAATTAAAGGGGGTATTCTGGTCATGAAATTAGAAAAAAAATCAATATTCGAATTATTTTCGAAGACACAGCCAATTCTGTGACGTGGAGTCAGAACCAATAGTCCGAACCAATCTTTAATTTCGTTTTTCTCAAAAGTGTTTTTTTTGAGTTGGTTGACATGATTTTTCATGTTCTACTGCACCGATACCTTTGAAATTGGGTATATAAATTAATAGGATAATGAGGTCACGCGAATAAGCGAATTTCCGTCGGTAAACGGCGGCTTCTCTTGTCTTCTCGGGTGGTCCCTCGCAATTGAAGATAACTCGATGCGGTGGACGACGGGTCCACTGCTGGCTGCTGGCCGGCTGGCCGAAGAGTTCCCAAAGATGAATTAGGAAGTTTATGTTATGTTCTTTACCTGCTGCTTCTCTAATGGGTAGTGCTTGCCGGTTATGTACGGGCTTCCGGCCAGATGCTGTGTCAGCAATTTGGCCGGAGCAAGCTGTCGGACGATCGGACAATGCCGTCGCCCTCGGCCGACCCTATCTGGGCAATCACCTCCCTAAGTTGGGCCGTGGATATCCTGGCTTGGGCTACTCACCGATAAGTGAGGCCGACGCAGATCAACGCGCACTATCTGGTGTGAGCGATAGACATTGATGTCCTCCACGAATTTTTTAATATGCTCCAGGTTACGCTCACTCAAGCGGTGAAGGTATGGAAGGCTAAGTATGTCGTGTTCTAAGATGATGTTCCGGGGGGCGAGCTAGCTTCTCCTGGTGCCCTCTTCTGGGCCGTGTCGTGATTGACGTATCGGGTCTCGTTAACCGTGGCACTCTCAAAGAAGGTGATGAGGTAAGTTAAGTGGACGTAAGTGCCATTTTCCACACTCACACGAGCCGGGCGATCGTTTATGATGATGATTCCATCATCCACTTAGGTGACGGGATGTAAATCGCTGTGTTGGATATCGCAGTGCGCAATACCTCCAGCGTGGAGTTCCTGCGCGCATGATCTTCCCAGCGCCAGTTGGCAAAATATGGCTCCAGGTGACACGGAGCAGTTTTTGACTGTGAGGATCTCTCCGTTGCAATCCGTGGCAATATCAGCGGAATGGATGTGGACCTGTAATTTCGGTTTTATTGTAGTGTTTTATAAAATTTGGTTAGCCCAGCATCAAAACATATAAGATAAGAGTAATTAAGCGAGCTCCTCAAGCAGCAACTCCTTGCATGTGAAAGACAGAAGCGTGCTTCCTCCAGAGTTATCCTCCATTAAGTTTTTGTCTGGAGAGGGCATCCGCGACGAGATTCTCTTTGCCGGGCTTATAAAATATTTTAGCGCCGGACTCGTCGATGTGAGCATTCCACCGATTGATTTTCGCATTCGGTGATCAGTATAGATGTTATATATTTTACTGCATATAAGTAATGGCGTAACTTGGCTAGTGCCCAAAATGTGGCTAACAGCTCCCGCTCGTTAGTAGCGTTATTAACCTCTCGGTCATTTAGGGTTCTCGAGATCATGGTAAAGGGTCTTCCCTCTTGGGATAGTACCGGGCCAATGCCAAATGCCGAGGCATCCGTCGTTAGATCGAATGCCTCTTTGTAATAGGGGTATCTGAGGATCACATCCTCTGAAGCCAGAATGTTACGCTGCTCACTAAATTGCACCTGGATATTTTTAGATTTGTGCCTACTGACACTTCCATGCTGCCCTTTTAGAATAACGGAGACGGGCCTAGCCATTGATGCAAAATCTGTAACAAAGCATAGGTAATAGCTGGCCAGGCCAAGGAACGATCTAACCTCGAATATATTTTTGGGCTCGGGAAATTTTTGAATGGCCTCGATGTAGCCAGACTTCAAATCGAGCGTTGTGAAGTACTTGGGTATCCCTAGTATCATAGACATACTTGGCATGGGATAGCGATCAGGTATTGTCCTCTCGTTCAATTTGCAAAAGTTCAATACCAGCCACATTTTCCGGTTGCCCGCTTCGTTTTTATAAAGGCATCTCTAGCTAGAGGCGATGCGTCCAAGCAATCAATGTTGGTAAATTTGACATCGGGGCACTATTTAAATTCTAACTTTTCTACTTCGGAGCCCCATTTGAGGTGGCCGGAAGCTAGACAAAGTGATGTTCCTGTTCCTATGGCCAAGGGATCGTGGCGGCTGAGCTGCTAATAGAAAGAATTTTAGAAATATGCAAAAAAATACAACGACACAAAAGGGCTGCATTAAATGTCCAATTTGATTAGTTTCCCAGCGGCGCACTTGTTCTTAAGCCGAGACACTTAATATTTGTATTTTATTTATGGTCGTAATGTATGAGATATTCAGAACTGAGAAATCTATTTGGTTGATATATTTTTATTTTTAGCAATTAAAAATCCAAACAACACAAAGAATCAAATATAATAATAGCACATGAAATTCCACAATTTTCATCCTCAAACAAATAATGAGTATGTTAATAATTATTTTGTTTTTTTTTTGGTTTTTAAAAAATGAACACGAAATTATGGAAGCGGAGCTGCAGAAAATATTCTGGCAGTGATTTATTTGGTTTATTTATTCGAAGTTAAACACATGCAGATGCCAGGGAGTATAAGGACTGAGGTGCTCACTCACATGGTTCCACGATTTAACTGGTATTTTTTTTTTGGAGCTTCTAGACCAAACCTAAACCCCCCTAAAAAGGGGATATCTTTCGAGTGTATGATAATTTATTTGCTTCTACTGTAATGTTTGAAGTATGGTATTTTTATTGTTTTAATTTCATAACAGATGTGGGATTATATAAAAAAATTGTCTTTTCCTATTGGTAACAACTGAAAATTTCTTCTTACAATCAACAACACACTGAATTTGTTACTCTTTCTCTTTCTTTTCTCTGACTTCACTACTTGTGAGCGTGCGTTTTTTTGATTGTGGAAAATGCACTTTCATAAGGCAGTTTTGAGCATCCCACACTATGGGGCCAACGACTACATTCGTTGGTTTGAAACTTTAGAATTTTATTGCGCAAGTTAAGGGCTTCCAAAATACCCAAAAACAAATGTCGTGAAAAGTTAATTCGGGCGATCTTGCGCGTGCAAATCGAAAAAAACGTCGCCTTCATAATGTCTGCTGTATTGCTCCATTGCTCCGTCCTGTTGGAGCTACATGCAAGTCCTCCAGTCTTAATTCGCCCAATTGCTACAGAAAAATCTCGGTAAACATGGCTCTATAATGCTCACAGTGCACTGTTGTCGCTAAAGTTGTGTAATGGCTTTGGTGCGACAAAAGCAATTTTGTTTAGGAACGAAAAATTTTGAAAAATCGTTGATACGGATGGAGATTATTCCGCGTTCTTGGGTAGTACATCGATCAATGGGTTGTTCACTTGTATTCTACATTTGTTCAGTCCCAAAATGTTTATGTTCTTTATTTATTTAATTATTTCTATATTTCTTTATTTCTTTATTTCTTTATTTCTTTATTTCTTTATTTCTTTATTTCTTTATTTCTTTATTTCTTTATTTCTTTATTTCTTTATTTCTTTATTTCTTTATTTCTTTATTTCTTTATTTCTTTATTTCTTTATTTCTTTATTTCTTTATTTCTTTATTTCTTTATTTCTTTATTTCTTTATTTCTTTATTTCTTTATTTCTTTATTTCTTTATTTCTTTATTTCTTTATTTCTTTATTTCTTTATTTCTTTTTTATTTCTTTATTTCTTTATTTCTTTATTTCTTTATTTCTTTATTTCTTTATTTCTTTATTTCTTTATTTCTTTATTTCTTTATTTCTTTATTTCTTTATTTCTTTATTTCTTTATTTCTTTATTTCTTTATTTCTTTATTTCTTTATTTCTTTATTTCTTTATTTCTTTATTTCTTTATTTCTTTATTTCTTTATTTCTTTATTTCTTTATTTCTTTATTTCTTTATTTCTTTATTTCTTTATTTCTTTATTTCTTTATTTCTTTATTTCTTTATTTCTTTATTTCTTTATTTCTTTATTTCTTTATTTCTTTATTTCTTTATTTCTTTATTTCTTTATTTCTTTATTTCTTTATTTCTTTATTTCTTTATTTCTTTATTTCTTTATTTCTTTATTTCTTTATTTCTTTATTTCTTTATTTCTT